GGGCCTGCAGGGGTCTCCTGCAGGAGCTGGCCAGGAGCAGGGGCGCGCTGGACCATGCCGGGCCCCAAACACGCACGAAAGCCTGCGAGCCAGAGGAACGAGCGCGGGCCTGGGGACGGGGCTCCCTTTGGCCGGCGCCAGCACAAGGCGGGGAGGTCTGTGCAGGGTCGGCAGCCCGGCACAGGGCCCCCATGCGTACCCCGTCCTCATCCTCAAGGATGTCCTTCCCGATGGAGGCCAGCGTGGTCCACTTGCAGTTGTTGGTTGCACGCACAGCACACCGTTTGTGGGCCTTAAATTTGCACACTGTGAGAGAACAGACACGGGACCTTCAAGCCCCATTCGAGACGGTGCTTCCCATGCTGGAGGAGGCGGCTGCCCTGCTCCTCCAGGACTGTTGGGACCGAACACAGAGCGCGCTCCCCATGCTGTAAACTGAACAGCCGGGGCGTGCACAGTCTGATCACAGTGAGACCGGCATCCAGGAAAGGCTCTGACCCAACTCCCCAACTCCTCAACCCCGCCCGGCAGCACGAGGGCCACCGCGGGCCATGCCCCATGTACAGACACCGAAATTTAAATGTGACAAGATCCCTATGTCACAAAACTGTCATCTTTTGATTTTTTCCACTTAACATGTACAAACCATTCTTAACCCCACAGGTGGTACCAGAACAGGCGGCAGGTGGGAACTGGTCCGTGGACCAGAGCTCGACCACCCCTGCTCCTGCCCCCTGCTCCTGCACGACCGTTGTAACCCGCCCTCCGCATCCGGAAGACCAGGTTTCACCGTTTATCCACAACCTGGTTTACCCACGGCGGGTATAACCACCTCAGGGCCGACAGAGACTTTTAACCTCTTTTCCCTCTGTCCCTTTAAATGTTTCTCCTTCGTGTCTCCTTACCACTTCCCTTCTTTCCACTTTGTCTGTTACTACCCAAGATCATTTATCAAACTCCTCAGTAGGTACAATAAGTAAGCACAGAGTCCCAGAAATCACTTTACATGGACTGATTTGTGGTGACCATGCTAAGGTTTCTAAGGCTTCATAAAGGCAAACATCAGGCCACGCTTCCCACGGCACCCCACGCCATTCGCACCTTCACAGGACAGTCCGTGCGACGTGACCCCAGACAGAGCCTCGCGACACACGTTGCAGTAGGTCGGCCGCGCATGGGAACACGCGTACCAGTTGTGCATCCCTGAGAAATGGTCCATGCTGTACTGGGAAGGCTGCAAGAACAAAATAAAGATGGCAAAGGTAAGCTGTCCCTCTGACACTCTTGAATGGGACTCAATGAAGTATCCAGGGGAGGGGAGGGGAGGAGGGCAGGCTCAGCCAAAAGGTCGAGCAGCAAGCCTAAATTTTACAAGGAACACACGAGAAAGTGAGTTCCAGGCTGCTCGGTCCACACGTGGAAATACTGGGACGGCAGAGTATTCAGGGGCGGGCCCCAAGGAGGGACATTTGTCTTTCTGAACCTCAAAGTGCTCCCTGTTCTGGACGGTCTTCAGCGCTGCAATCCAGTCTTCCATCTCTTTCCTGTGGTCAGCACATAAGATGAGCTTCCTACATGGAGTGATGACCTGTGGGACGAAACAAGAACCAGGCGGTACAGCGAGAGCAAAGGACAAATGCTAACCGCTGCAAAACTTCTCCACATCTCCTTCTGTTATGTGTGTGTGTGTGTGTACATTTTTATGAAAAATGACCGATTTGTTCAGATTCTCAGTTGAACACAACATAAAAATGATTATCGTGGGTCATTAAAAATCAAGAAAAATCTCAAACCAAAAAGACAATCAAATTCAATGTATACATTCACCAAAAATCAAGTAAGTGGGCATTCACCAACCACCTGCTACTCAGACATGGTAATAAGCCACAAGAAGCGTTTAAAAAGAAAAAAGAAAACACAGTTGCCATCACTCCAAAGAGCTCACAAACTAAGGTCCAGCACATGACCAGTTTGGGGAAATTGGTCCAAGTTACTCTAGGAATGGTGTACTTCAAATGCACCATACATGATGTCCTTGTACAAAACCGTGTGATATGTGACAAGAGAAAAAACAACCAGTTACTACACTGAAGGGCCTCAACAATTTAACTGGAAATGAGGTCAGGAACCTGGTGATAATCAACAAATGTAAACTGTATCTACAACATATAAAGAGTTTTTACAAACCAATAGAAAAGTCTTTCTTACAAAAAGAGGTTATAAACTTGCATTTCAGAGAAGAAGTACAAAAGGGCTAACAAATAAAAGATGCTTAACTGCTCTAGTCATTGGGGAACACGAATGAAAACAGCCAACAGTCTGCCAACAGACTGGCAAAGTTCTGAAAGATGGTAATCCAGTGTTGGCAAAAGTATGGGAGAAAAGAGTTCTCCTCAAGCAATGATAGAAACTCAATAGGATATATATTTTGGGGAAAAAATTTGATAGTGAATACCAAAATTTTAGAAAAATAACCTTTTATGTACTTCCGTTTTACAGTGATGTAAAATATCTGCATGGTTCTAAAGTCAAATCCACAGAACAAGGTATAGTCAGAAGTCCAGCTTTTCCTTCTGTCCCCTCCACCCTGGGTCCCTCCCTTCCCCATGTGCAGCTTTATAAAAGTAAGTAAGAGTATGGTTTATCCCTCCATTTTGATATAGCATGCCAGGAGAGAAATGTTGTTGGCCCCGACAGGTCACGACATCTGCGTCCCAGGAGTTCAGCCCCTGATTGCCTGGGCTGATGGCTCAGAGCCTGAGCCTGTTTCCTCCGCATTCTGTGTCTCCTCTCTCTCTGCCCCTCCCCCGTTCATGCTCTGTCTCTCTCTGTCCCAAAAATAAATAAAAAAACGTTGAAAAAAAAATTTAATAAAAAAAAAGAATAGGTACCTTTAAAAAAAAAAAAAAATTAAAAAAAAAAAAAGATACGTGCAAACACATACATATATTCATATTCCCCTTCTAAAACAGGAGTATATCATACACACTTTTCTCCATCTCTGCTTTTTCACCTAATTATCTATCTTGCCCACCTCTTCTTAGCAACATGGAGCATCTCTTTACTCTTTCTTAGGGCTGCACGGAGCTTTGCTGGACAGGAGCACGAGAGTCCATTCAACCAGGTCTCTATTAATAGAAATCTTTTTTTTTTTTAATGTTTATTTTATTTTTTGAGAGAGACAGAGGGTGAATAGGGGAGGGGCAGAGAGAGAAAGGAAACACAGAATCGGAAGCAGCAGGCTCCAGGCTCCGAGCTGTCAGCACAGAGCCTGACTCTGGGCTCGAACTCACAAGCCATGAGATCACGACCTGAGCCAAAGTTGGACACTTAACCAACTGAGCCACCCAGGCGCCCCTCCATTAATAGAAATCTTCTGTTGTTGAAAATCCTTTCCTATCTCAAACAGTGCCGCAATGAATGGCCTTTGCACAGACCTCATGTGCTTCCCAGTGTATGTGGGGGAGAAGTTCCTAGAAGCAGAACTGCCCTGACAAAGAATAAGCGCATTTGTAATTTTGCAGCTGAAATCCCTCCCCAGGGCTTGTGCTGTCTGCATTCCCACCAGCAGTGTTAGGAAAATGCCTGCTTCCCCAAGGCTGCACCAATAAAACATGTTAACTTCTGGATCTCTGCCCATCTTCTAGCTTTAATTTATATTATTAGATGATCATGTTTCTGGCTCAGAAAACTTAGAAATGGTGTTTTATAGATTATCTCTTTGGTGATTTCTATAACCACCTATAAAGCTTAATCACAGAAGGGGCTAATTAGAGCTGGGTCACAAATGCATGGTTCATTCTCTCACGTCACCAAGGTGACAGGGATAACTACACACAGGGGCCAAACTGGGTGTAGAAAGAAGGGAAGCTAGGAGAGGGGGAGGGGAGACTGGAGGACAGAGAAAACAGAACCAGAGAAGCTGAGTGCCCTCCTGAGGGTGGGGGTGAGGGTGACAGCCACACTCCTTTACACCTGGACAGTGCCACGAAGAGCCCACATCCCAGCATCTGCTGGGCAAGGGCATGATGAGTGTCTGCTCCACACCTGAGATTCTAAGACTATACAGGCAAGGTTCCCACTCACAGAGAACTTATACTGGGGAAAGGCAGAGAAACAAGAAAACAATTTCAGACACTGACACGGGCCCTGAAGACAAAGCGGTAGTGTGAATGGGGCTGGTGGGTGCTTTGCACAGAAGGCCATGGGAGTGCTGGCAACTGCCAATGGCCTGGGGTCAGTGCTTATGGAATTTTCATCAGTAACCGTCTATAAAATCTCAGCAAACATTTCTTTTCATTCATTCTTGGGTGGGTTTTAATATTTAAGCATTTTTATCGGTGTAATAAACATAGTTAGAGAAGAGAATATATTTTTTATAACTCAGGGATTCTATGCAGAGTTATGCAACATGACAGCTACAGAAGAGAACAATGACATTTTTTAGGTCCGTTCTATTTCAGGTTTTGTTTCTGCTAGTCCGGTGACAATCTTTACAAGATGAAGTACCCACATTATTCCAGAATTCAGCTATGTCATCGAATCTTTGGGTCAACCATCTTCCACGTGCCAAAGGAGAGAGGTTTCGTGGAATAGCTTTGTGAGTACTAGGCACCACTGGACAGCAAGTTACAGACAAAACTGTTGTGTTTAAGTTAATGAAACAAAAGACAGATGACCTCACTTCCTCAATCCGTGTGACTGTTTACAGGGAGTAAACACTGATGGATGAATATCCAAGAACCTGGTTTCAGCCTTTTTAAAAAAACTCCTACTTGTGCATGTTTGAAGAAGCCTCAGACAGACTCAGATCTGAACCCCACCCAGCCACTGAGCAGCCAGGAAAAATGGGCAGACTGTCTTCATTTCTATTCTGGAAAAGGGGGATGATAAAGTTACCTGGCCTGGGTTGTTATGGGATCGAATGGAACCAGCATGCACAGGACTCGCACAGGGCCCAACACACAGCTTTTAAGACGCACCTTCAGGTCTGAAGCCCTGACGAGCTGGGTAACTGAAGCAGCTGACTCCCCTCGCCAGGCCTCCACATGCCCCTCTGGACACTGGGGCCGTAATGACGGTGTCACGCCCCAGGGTCATCCGAGCGTGGAAGCGTGTTCTCACGTGCACGCACCTGCCACTCACTCTCGGCATTGCTTCAGACTCTAGGGCCTGACCTTGGGGCATTATCTGTTTGATAGGACCACGTGACACCTCCCTCCATTCAAGTTGACACCATTCAAGTGCCAACAGTCCGCGTCCCAGATCATGAGATTTGTCACAGAAGATTCTCTGCTTCTCCTGCTCCTCTCCCAGCACATTGTGTCACCTTCGAGACAGAGTCCCTATTTCTTAGCCACCCGCAAGACTGGTCAATCTCCTCACAAGGCTCCTCCCCACCCTGGTCCCCTGGCAAGGTCTTCAACGGCCTTCCGGCCACGGGGGAAGCTTCCCGAACACCGGCTAGCAGTATCACACGCCCCGGCAAAGGCTCCCGCCAGTCCCTCTTTGTTCCCTGAACAGCAGCCTGGGACCAATGCACGAGAGAGGTGAGGGTGGAGGGCCTCTTCAGTCGAAAGGAAAACGAGTGACTGTTAATGAGAGCTGTCTTGGATGGGGCTTCTTATTCAATCCCTTGACTTTGGAGATAGAGTGGGCAGGACAGGCCCCAGGAGAGAAGCAGGTGCTGGATGAGACCTCTCCCGGCTGCTCATCCAGCTCAGCAGGGCAGGAAGAAGGCGGGAAGAAACGCTCCTACAAATATTAAAACTGTCCTTCTGTTGGACTGTAGCCAAGACCACCCCTCTTAAAAATCAAGCAACGGTGCAAAAAAAGGTAAAACCGTCCCCAAGGATAAGACTTTACAGACCAAAAAGGCTCTGTGTTTTTCAAGCGAAGAAATGGCTCACGTAACTCAATCAACTGAAATGATAAATGCGAATTAAAAGCAGGGTCATACATGAACTTGATAGGACCAATCAGTGACACCACAGAGATTCGGTGAGCCAGGACCCATGACTGGAATGAGCAGGCTTGGTACCAAGGGACAGGGCAGAGTTAATACCGCAGAGCAAGGTGACAGACCACAACACGCAAACCCACGAGCTGGAGAGTGAAAGCACACGCAGACCTTGACGCTGGAAGGATGAGGGAGGCTGAAAGAGAACACAGGTCACAGAGGAAAGAGTGGAAGCATGTCTCTCCTACTCCTCGGAGACAGGCTAGGAAAGCAATAAACAGGTGTGAGTCCTTAGTCACTCAGCGAAAGTCTCCTAAAGGTGAAAGAATTTAAAAATCAATAAGAAAATAGACCAACTAACAGAAAAATGGACAAAAGCCTTGAACGCTTATTTCACAAATGACCAACAAGGAACACGAAAATGCATTCAACTTTGTCTCGTCTGGGAAGCGGGCATTAAAACCCCAGCACGGAACACCTTTCCCAGTGGCTGGGCTGAAAAGATGGACACAAGTGAGTGTTGGTGAGCATGCGGAGCAACTGAACACTTGCTCGGCACCAGCGGGAGGCAGTCGGGCACAGCTGCTCTCTAAAACAGTAGAGTTGAACTCTCGTACACCCCATGGCTC